CGACGGCGGGAGCGGGAGGCCCGGGAAGGCCTCGGGGCTGATGGCGGGCTTCGGCCGCGGCTCCTTTGCCAGCAAGCTCCCAGTTCCCGCGAGCAGCACCCCACAGTCTGCCTTCATGCTGCGCGGAGAGGGGCAGGCCTGGTGACAAGGGGGGTAACGGCTCCTCTCCCACCTCAGAGCCGTCAGTCAGAAAGTGATGGTTGCCACAGCACAACAGCTGTGGAGAAGTACAGCCTTTGCTCTGCACCAAGAACCGCTGCAACATCAGGACTGCATCCCTCCTTCCAGACAGCTGGTAGAGTGCCAAAAGCACCGCACTCCATTTACGTAGGTGGTGCTGTGCTCCAAACGGCTGCTAACCTAGTCCGCAGCAGCAGTTCAGCCCCGCCACAAAGACAGAACCGTACAGTAGTGGCTGCAGCCCTGCCCCACAGCTCTGGTGCGAGCACCAACGCGCCCACCCTTCTTCCTCATATTAGAAATATGTTTATACTACTTAGATGTAACTAAGTCCACGGCCAAGGTGAAGACTATATTCACTTCAGGAAGCATTTATTAGAGAATCCTTTAACATGAAATTATACAAATAAACTTTGTATAAACACAATTCCACATTCGCAACATGAATGGCAAAAAAAAAGAAAGTAAAAACCATAAAAGAAAACTAGTCGGCCGCTATATACAGTTGGACACAGTTGTGTCATACACTAAAAGTCTTTTACAAAATAGTCATTTCCTCTCACGAAGACCACCCTCCACTGACGCCCGATGCTTTGCAAGGTGTCGTTGCTGCAGCATCTCTACCTAAAAACGAAGACAAAATATATGTCAGCTCTCTGCAAGATACTACAAGCATCGTTAAAAGGTCCATTTTCATGAACTGCTTTAAGTCTTCTATATATTCCTTTCGTCACTGTTAAAGATCATATGCATATTTCTTAAGGTAACACAAGAGGTTTTGTTACCCACTGATAATTTGTCTTCCCAAATATTGCCATTCGGGAAGCTGTTCCAGAACAACACACATCCCAATTCGGCTAGTTATTGGGCTCTGGATCAGATTTTTCTCCGGAAACACTGCCAAAACGGGGTTTCCCATTATTTGCACAGCCATCATTCATACAGATAAACAGATCAGGTTGGTGTACTTCCAACAGTTCACGTGCATATGATCTTTAATGTCTTTCCAGATTTAAAAGTTCGTTTTGGTTTGCAGATTTCACTATTAGCTATAAAAAGAAAAAAGCAAGCATTAAATCTTAAACAATGCACACTTAAAATGAGGTTCCACAATTGAAATACAACACTAAACAGAAGACCAAATGATTAAGCTGTAAAGGCATTTATGTACTTTAACTCCTGCAAAAAACCATTTAAGTTAAGACACTTAGTCTCCAAAAAGATTAAAAAAAGAAGCCATAGTCTGAAGTTTTCCACTTTAATCTTTACGCTGGTACATGAAGTTGGAAGAGACCATACCACAGGACAGCGTTTTCTGGTGTATGCCTTGCGCTCTGCCTGCAACGTGCGACCCCAGAGATAGACGTGGTCAGGGTGACACACGGCCTGCAATGAAGTTCCCGCTGGCGGGTACAAACAAGGTATAATGTCAGAGTTAGAAGATAACATTCTTGTTTTCCTTAAGTTGTACCCATTTCAGTACTTTACCTGTTAATACTTCTAATAAGTTTAATTATTCCTCTAGATCACCTGGTACACAACGCAAAACAGAAAAACTCTTATGTTTTTCTGAAGTACTAAAGAAGATAAAGTCACGTTTTTACAAAGTTAAAGATCTATAGACACGGTAGGCAAAGCTGGTTTTAAAAAAAAAAGATATTTTTAAGTTAACAAAAGTTTAATTAAAGAAAAAAGTCACACTACACAAGGTTTTACTCATTTGTCTATTGATCTTTAAATTAGATTAGCATACTCTGAGTGAACCTCGCGCTCATATACACACCTGTTTCCTCAGGGACAAGGTACAGCTTTAGTATGGCTGGTAGTTGTTTTGGTGATTGCCGCCACCACGGGACGCCTTTCCGTATGTGCTTTGTTGGCCTGTTGGTAACACGGCAGGGGAAAAAAAACACACCAAAAGCATTGAAATAAACGATCTACTCATCCTTCTTAAGTCCTCTCATGCAGAACACCACCCCCAAAAAATGGCTTTTCCGAGCCATGCCTTACAAGAAAGAGATGCAGAACAGTGTATGAGACCCCTGTTTAAAGATGCACAAATGATCTTGAAGATCAAAATCACTCACCACTGTAATCTGTGTATCCCGGTCCATATCCGTAATTGGGATAGTTGTACCCGGAGTAGTCATATCCTCCATAGCCACTGTAGCTTTGATCACTGTAAGCACTATTGTAGTTCCCATATCCTTGATCGTAATAGTTATTAAATCCTTGATTCCAGTTTTGACCTTGACCTGAAACCACCAGGCAGAGCATTTAATAACAAGTTCTGTGACTATCTCAGTCTTCACATATCACTTCATCTAGCTTATAATTTTTCTCTTCCAAAATTACTACTTGTAAGAACCCTCCTACTTCCCACAGCAACCAACGAGAACTAATTTGCTAAAATAATCAATTTCATTTGGCTATCGGAGATGGCCTGAAAGATCTAATAACTCAAAACAATATTAGATGAAAGAACACACTAGTTTCTGCCACCCAGGAGGAAAGACCAAAAGCATGCACAACCACAGTTCCTGTAGTTTTCCCAACTTCCATTTTTAAATCATTAATTACATGAACAAGGTTATTACACAAGCTCAGTTTGACTGCACCATCTCAGTTGTGGCTGCTTGAGTTTGTAAATCCTGACACGCATTAACCTGTGATAACTGCTGGCCTCTTTGCAAGGTGTTAACAAGTGACCATCTCTTTAGCCAGTGGCTCATGACTTCTCAACCACAAGCAAGCCAACATCCCCTCACACAAAACGATAACTAGCAACACTAGACATTTTATTATGCACTGAACTATAGGTCTACAAAAACAATCTACATTTTACTTGTCATCTGAGCACTTGAATGCAAGCAGAGATTCTTTAACTTCCAAGATCTATCACAAGAACCAAAGTGAAATTTAATGCACTTAAGAAAACAATTCCTTTTAAACTATTTTTTAAATATATATATAAGTCCCACACGCAACCTGAAACACCTTCAGACACCTTCAACACTTCAAATTTAATTTAATTTTCAACACAAATTCCAATAACCAGAGCACTCACCCCGTCCACGCCCCCTTCCACCGCCTCGTCCACCAGACGCATTACTTTTTCCTCCCTTCTGTTGCTGCTGCTGTTGCCTGTACACCTCTTTGGGCTGCGCTACTTTGATCTCACACTGTTAAGACAAAAAAAACTTTAACTTGTGAAGAATTACAGGACCGTTCTGTCGGCTGCCTTCACGGAAGCTGACAGGCTGCCTATTCCACATACTAGTGAGAAGGCATCACTACCTTGCCTGAACCAATCTGATGGTATCTGCTTTCTAGTAACTTCTTTACTGGCTCTTCATCTGTGTATGTGATAAAGCAGAAGCCCCTCCTTTCATTCGTCTTTGTGTCCATGGGAAGCTCAATGTTTTCAATCTGCAATGGGAAGTATGTACCAATCAATACACAACCTGTGCCAAACCTTTCAATACACATTTCACTGGCTGTATTTACATTCTACTTGGAGTTGCAGTATTACTTTGACACAGTCAGGACCATTTGCTACGGACATCCAGCCGCAGGGACATACATCACGTTGGATACTATAAAGAATTTCTTTTTTGAAAGAGCAGCAAGGTATTGTCACAGGCTGCCCAAAGGGGAGGAATCGTCATCCCCAGAGGTGTTCGGGAACAGTGGAGAAGTGGTACTGAGGGATATGGTCAGTGAGCATGATGAGGATGGGCTAGGGTCGGACTTAGTCATCTTAGAGATCTTATCCAACTGTAATAGTGCTGTGATTCTTTTAGCTCATCCACTCACTGGACGCTGCAGCTTTCAGAACTTCTGATGCTAGCAAGTGATCCCAGTCCAGCAGTACAGAGCTGTTAACAAACTGTTTTAACAACCTCTAGCTCCACAGAAGTCCAACTCAGCTTTCTCCACTTGTTTTAAGGCAAAACTCCCTTGAAAACAGTATTTATCTTACACGGGGCCACAGCTTACCTCTCCAAAAGCACCAAAGTACTCCTTGATCTGCTCTTCAGAGGTATCCGGGCTCAGCCCACCAACAAACACCTTCTTGGGTGGCTCTTTCCCCTTGAGGGCTTTCGCCCTCTTGGGATCGATCAGCTTTCCATCCAGCTTGTGCTCCTTCAGCTCCAGCACCTGGAAGGCACAGGTTGAAGCCCTCAGAGTACTGAGGCAGACGTGCGTAGCACACAGCAAAGGACCCGAGGCCCACGCACAGCCCTTACCCCCCCCGACACGAGGCCCATCCACGCACCTTCTCCACGCTGGCAGCGTCCTTGAAAAGCACGAACCCGAAGCCCCGCGACCTCCCGGTCACCGGGTCGGTTTTAATCGTGCAGTCCACAACCTCTCCAAAGCGGGACAGGTACTCGGTCAGGTCTTTCTTGCTCGTGTCCCAGCTCAGGCCGCCGATGAACATTTTCCTGCGAGGCAGCGGCACGTGTGGGCGGGGCACGCAGCGCGGGGAAGCCCCGCCCCCGCCGCTGACGTCACGCCGCGTGACCGCCGCCCGCCGCCCCGCCCCGCGCCAACTGGGTCAACCGCGCGGGACACAAAGGCGGCCCCGCCCCCTCCACTAGGCCCCGCCCCCTCCCAGCGACGAGCCCCCCCCTCCCCCACGCGGCCGGGAGAGATGGGGGGGTGGGGGTGCGGGCGCGGCTCCATCTCGCAGCCTACCCGTCGTCCTGCTGGTTCTTGCTGGCGTTGATCTTGGAACCTTCGGCGAACTCCTCCGCGCCGCCGCTCATCTCGGTGGCGTCCTCCATGGCGGGGCGACTAAGAGCGGAGAGCGACGGAGACCCGCGCTGGGTAGAAAATGGCGGCGGAAGAGATCCGGGCACCGCCTGCGCCGCCCTTATATAGCGGCGACGGCAGCCAATCAGCGCCGCCCGGGGAATGCTGCAGCGCCCCCCTGCGGCGGCGCCTCCCGCGCTCTCCGCTGGCCGCCGCCATGGGCGTGCTGCCGGTGCCGGCGGGGGTGCGCGCCATCCTGCTGGACGTGGAGGGCACCACCACCCCCATCGCCTTCGTGCAGGTGCGCGGCCCCGCGCGGGGCCGGAGGGATTTGGGTTTTGGGGGGGGTTCAGGGAATTTGGGTGATGTGAGTGGTTTTCGTATTCGGTTTTTAGCAGCGTTGGTGATCGGGTGGGCTCCGGGGGCGACCGTGGGTTTTAGGAGCGTTGGTGGGCTCGAGGCGTTCTGGTGATTGCGTGGGCTTTGGTGATTTTAGGTGTACCGGTGGGTTTGGGGTGGGCTCAGGTATTTGGATGGTTTTGTGGTGGGCGGCTGTTTGAGGGGTTATTTTATTGTGCTTGTATGATTTTAAGTGTTTTGGTAGGTTTTTATCGACTACAACGGTTTTCATCGATGGGTCTTAGCGATTCTGACGGTCCTAAGTGAGGGTAGTGGATTTCAGGGTGGTTTTGGGGATTTCAGAGGGTTCCAGTGTCTCTGGTTATCTTTAAGGATTTGGGTGGCTCTTAACGATTACGGTAATTTTTAACCATGTTGGTGATTTTAGACAGTTCAGTAGGTTAGAGGGGTTTTGGTGGCGTTTCCAGATTTTAGCGGGGTTTTTTAAGTAACGATGGTGACCCCACTGATCTCAGTGGCCACAATGCCAGCGCTGCCCTGCTTGCTCCCACCTCACCACCAGCAGTCAGATGGAGGATTTAAAGCTCTTGCAGCATTTCTCTGGTTTTGGTTTCTGAGCTGCCATATTAATGTCTGCGTGTGCTGCCAGGAGACCCTGTTCCCCTACATCAGAGACAACGTGGAGCAGTACCTGCGTGCGCACTGGGAGGAGGAGGAGTGCCAGCGGGACGTGGGGCTCCTGAGGCAGCAGGTGAGGGCATCACGTGGAATTGGGTCACACTGAGGCTCCTTGTCTGTCCATGCCCTTCATTTTCCCCGTCCCCAGGCCCAGGAGGACTCGGGCCTGGACGGAGCAGTGCCGATCCCGTTGGAAAGCGGCAGTGGGGATGAGGAGCTGGAGCGTGTCATCCGGGCAGTAGTGGACAACGTGCACTGGCAGATGGCTCTGGACAGGAAGACCACGGCGCTGAAGCAGCTGCAGGGACACATGTGGAGAGCGGCCTATGCCACGGGGCTGGTGAAGGGAGAGTGAGTAATGGTGAAGGAACAGGCACGAGGTGCCCCGTTCCTGGTATCCAGCAGGAGAGGGGCTGCGTCAGGCCCTGAACTCACAGATGTAGGGAAGGTCAGTGCCTCCACAGAGGAGTCAAGAAGGACAGCTTTTCCATCTGCTGCTTTATAAACAAGGAGAATTATCTAACAGTGGCCCAATAGCTGTAGATTTAGCCATGCTGTTTGGCAGCATCTAAAGAGTAGGCCTTGCAGGTGCTGTACAGCAGCCTCAAAATATTTTTGGCTGACTCCACATACATGTAAATCAGTATAAAATGACTGAATTACTGTTTTCTTTTGTTAAACAGATAATGTAACAAAGCACTGAGCATATGACTGAGAAACTGGAGATAAAGAGGCCAGCTGTTGCGACAAGGCTGCAGAACTCAGTCCCACACTTCCTTATGTGTCTGTTGGGAGCCGTGTGTCTATTTGGGGCAGCACCCTCAGGTCTTGGCCCAGTGCCCGCACGGTGGCAGTGGGAAGGCTGCTCCTTGAGCATGGGTTAAAACCAAATTCCTCCAGCACTGCTCCCCATCCATCTGCTACATCCTACTTGTTCCCTGCCCTTCTGAGGCATTCCTGGGATGCATAGGTCCCTCTAGAAGCAGCACATCCCTCTGGAAGCATCCTCCAGTGCCTCTAGGCCTGCCCTTACCTGCTGTCCTGTTTTGCTGCAGAGTCTTTGAGGACGTGGTTCCAGCCATCCGGAAGTGGAGGGAAGCTGGGATGAAGGTCTACATCTATTCTTCAGGGAGTGTTGAAGCCCAGAAGCTTCTGTTTGGATACTCTACAGAAGGTGATATCCTAGAGGTAGATAACGTTATCATCTTCCTCATGGCTTCTCCACCTACAGAGCAGACCCATCCTATGGCTGTTCGTGCTGTGAGATTTTGTCAGTAGAGTCTCAGATGGGAAAGCGGGGTAGTGTGGGAGCCTTGATTATCAGCAGTTTAGCTCTCTGCTTCTCATATGGTGTCCAGCCTTTGCCTTTCTCTGTCTTTCAGCTCTTCGATGGCCACTTTGACACCAAAATAGGTCCCAAGGTAGAAAGCGAGAGCTACCGAAGGATTGCTGCAAGTATAGGATGTGACACTAACAACATTCTCTTCCTGACTGATGTCCCTCGAGGTGAGTGACCTGCTGCCTCACAGGACTTGTCACAGCCACCTAGTGATGCTGCAGACCTCCTTGCTTCTAGGGCACCCGGCTTGCCACTGCCATGCTTCTTTCTGAAGCATTCAGGCTTGCACTGGGCAGTGGGATATCTGTGTGTGACACTGTGCAGTGAGGGAAAATAGGCCAAGCAGAAAACCTGTCCTTGCCCCAGGGAACAAGGAGAGTGTTAAAGCAGAGTGGATCATTTGCTGAAGCAGTTGGTGTGCCCCATTTGCAAACAGGGTCAGGAGTTTTTGTGGCCTGTGCTCAGCTTCCCCTGGGAACAGTGATGCCTGCTGTGCTTGGTATGGTTGGTCAGTGGTTGATTCTGCTGCACAGCAGCAGGAAAACATTGATCTTGGTCTTCGAGGCTCAACTCCTAGGAAGCCAGATTGGGGAAGACTCTTACTGCCCTTCCCGGGAACATCTTCTGACAGAAATGGGCTGATACCTTGGTCTGAGCCAGCTTAGTACGAGGAGTTAGCCTCAGTCTCCTCCTCAGCCCAAGCAGCACTGCTAGTGGAAGCTTTCAGTAACCTCCTTGTCCCTGCAGAACCTGCCCCAGGGCCTTTTATTGTGCTTGGGGTGAGAGGGAGCTCGTGAGGACTGGCTGCAGGCTTGCAGGGGTGTTGGGCTGGCTAACTTCAGCCAGCGCCACCTGCAAACACTGCTCTGTCAGTCTTAACCTTTAAAAGCACGTTTTATGGCGCTGTTCAAGCCTTAAGGGCCCTCCTGTGGTGAAATCACAAAGCACATCTACACTCTCTTCCTCTCTTATTTGTTTCAGAAGCAAACGCAGCCGAAGAAGCGGACACTCACGTGGCTGTGGTCATCAGACCTGGCAACGCAGGACTGACAGATGATGAAAAATCGTACTACAGCCTCATCTCATCTTTCACTGAACTTTTCCTGCCTTCCTCCACTTAAGGAAAGTGGTGCACGCACAGAAGGCTGTGCTTCACCTGAGTTGTCCTTGTGTAACTTCAAGTAATTTTGTCCATGACCAGAGTCTAAAACCAAACCCACGTCATGTATTGGACCCACAACTAATGCAGGTATGGATGGAGAGTATGGTGTGGGGTTCCCGATGCAGTACATTAGGGCTGCCACAGACAGCTAGTCCTTGCTGCAGGCAAGCTGTATATACAGAGAATGACTTAAATCTTGGCTACACCTACAGCAGGTCCTAGGTACAAAACAATATGACTTGTGTGCTGACACTGCTTAGAGTGACACTGTCAGCCCACCAGAACAAAGTAGAGTATACGGTAAGAATTAAGTTCTTTAAAAATTAAATTCTGGACCCACCTCATGCTGCTGCCACGTGATGTGGGTCTGTGGGATCCAACAGGCTGACACCACAGCCAGCTTGGCTGCATTTCTGCCCAAACTATCGTAGCTCCTCAGCAGCCGCTGTTGCTGCTCAGTTGTGAGCAGACCTTGCCAAACATCCTTCTGCATTGAATGAGAGTTAAACCAGAGATCTTTTCACCCATCTTACTTTAATCATGCCAATTTATAGCAACGGTCATGGAGCCTTTCCTTCTATAGTCAATAAAGCCACAGCTTTGTTTACATTGTGTTCACTGTATTCCAGTATTTAGCTTTGCTGCCTGTCATCAGTGATCCCAGCACCTAAAGGACAAATCTATTTAAAAATACAAACAAAAAACCCACTGTTTTTATCCCTGCTTTTGCCCTCCTTGGTCCATTCTTTAGGACAGACAAGTCTGTCTTGCTGAGGAAGCAGCATCATGTCCCTGTCTGTCTCATGATTTGACGAGGGACTGGTGGAAGTTAGGAGGTTGAACCAAGCAATAGCAGTGGTGGTCTGACACACTGTTGCTGGTACTCAGCTCAAGAGTATCACCCGCTACTTACTAATTGCTGTGCAGCTCTGCTTGAACTTGCCCTCACAGCTCTGATGATGACAGGGCCACAACAGATCGCCAGCACACACGCTGCCTTCCTGAGCTCTGGTGCACATCTTCAGCTCTCCCCGTTGAAGTAGCTGCATAAAGAACAAGCACCTGAGGAGGGAAACACGTCACGCCAGCACTGCCCTTCTAAAACTTGATGGCAGCTGTGAGGCAGCTAATGTGAATGCCTTTCCAGGCTGTGTAGAGCATGATCCACCTTCGAGAAAGAGCCTGCTGATTAGCACTGCTACAGTCTGTACCTGCATGGCTGAATGATCCCCAGCTTCATTAAGTGTTAATTTGTATCATGACAGTGTAAATATCTTCTGTTCTGCCTTTGCCCTCATAAAGCTGTGCATGGGATGGGGACAAAAATAAAACTCACTTTCTCCATAAAAGCACTTTATTTAGTGGTCATGTGTATAGTGGCTGTCATTTAGTTGTATTGAAATGTGCTGTTAGAAATACTGTAAGAAATGTACAGAGTTATTACCAAAAACCTGAAGTTCAGTTTGGATTGCATATAGGAAAATGAAAAACAAGTCACAATCATCAGCCTTCTTTTTCTTTGTTAAAATTGTTAGAAAGTATAAAACAATAAACCAAAAAGTAGTAATTGATTTTACAAAAACAAAACAAAACAAAGAGGATTATTTACAGTAAAACACCCTTAAAGCAAAACACTGCTCGGTGCTCCCTATGCATCCACTGTGTGCCCGTGCCAGGGGTCCACCTGCATCCTGTCCCCCACCACCCAGTGCAGGACTGTTGGTGGAGCTGTAGATGACCTGGTGTGCCCCGACCCACAGCCTCAGCACATCCCTTCCCAAAAACAAGTTCTGAACCATGAAAGATCATATAAAGGGCAACTAGCTTTAACAGAAGTCTTTCTTGACTATTTCTTCTCCCTGGAGAGGCCTCTGCCCTTTGCAGAGCACTGAATGCCCTTGTGCCCTTTCCCTTTCTGTCAGGAATACTATAGTGTGGTAGGAGTTCCCCTGCAAACACCTCTTGCCACCATTTTCAGTTCTGCTTCTTTTCCCACAGCGGTGATGAGATGCCCCATGTCAGCACAGGCAGAAGATGCAAACCCAAGCTGAGCCTGCCTAGGAAAATGGGGAACAAGTCACATCCATCCCTACCTGGCTGATCCAGCAGCCTTCCCAAACTCTGTGTTTCCAGAGCTGGGCTTTAACTACAGCCTTTGTTTGCAGGAAATGTTTCTCTTTGTTATATTTCCAGTTCAAGCTCCCCTGGGAGTGCACAGCAAAGCCACTTCTGCTTCTGGTGACTTAAGCCAAGTCCCCCAGCCTTCACACCCCTTGAAAGCCCAGTCAGGAAAACTGGCCCAGGGAGAAGTCTGAATTGCAGGCAGGACAAAATGTGTCTGAAGTTTGACTTCTAAGTGCATAAGGAGCAACAAACAAACAAACAAAACCAACTAAAAACCCTACACACAATAAAGCCCAGCTGCAATGATACTGTTTTCATTGTCGGTAAGTCCAGTGTCTCTAATGCAATGTTTACCTCTTCTGTGAACAACAAAAAATTACTGAAATACTACAGATGATATGTAGTGGAAGCACTAAACATTTAAAAAGAGCAGCTTCTTCTGGGTCATCTTTAGAGCACACAGGCATTCACTTATTAATTCAACACCTGGCTTCCATCAGTCCCCACTGCAGCGCACGAAATGCCAAGCCCAGCATAGTGCTCCCCTATGCCATGTTCTCTGGCGTGGGCACAGTCCTCTCTCCTGCCAGGCAGCATCAGCCAAGTCTCGCATGATTTCTCCCAAATCCAGCTTTGCCATCAGCTGCTTTCCAGGCTGGAAGCAATGCCCACCTGCTCGTTGTAAATGCTGGTCAGTTTGGGTTTTCCAGTGTTCAGTTTTAAGTCCAGAAAAAACAGCCATTCCTTCTCACCCTACCAAGTAACTCCTGTCAGCAGCAAAGAAAACAATGCAAAAAAGATAAGAAAAGTGCAGCCCACCAACTCAGGAACCAGCAATATCTGAAGACTGTGCCCAGACAGGTCTGTTTCCTTCATCTCCTCCCCTATAGGACAGGCAGAGCAGTGCCTATCTCAGAGGGGCATAGTGAGGACCTGCTGCCAAACATCTTGAACAGCAGGTGTGAGAACAGCAGGAGCTGCTGAGAAAGAGTCTCTGACAGCACAAACTGAACAACTTGTGCTACCCGGCACTGCTGTTCAGAAGGATCCAGTCCTCTTCCAGCAGGCAGCTATTTTTTTTGTTTGGCCCTTAATGAGGCAACCACCCTCAGAGCCCTTTGGCAATACAACAATGATTGCACATGGAAAACAAACTCACCAAAAAAAGTGTAAATGAGGTCATGTCTAACCATAGGACTGCACCTGCCCCCCTCCCCCTGGCCAAAGGACAGGCTACACCTGATCTGTCTGGTACTCAGAGGCTTCTGACAAGCTTTCAGAAAAGCTCAGAAAGTTTTCCTGGTACTCTGAACAAACTATCTCAAATCTGTAGTGCCTGAACTCCACAGCAAATGTGCCAAAGTAGCACAGGAAACACATCACCAGGCCCCACTGGATCCTGGCAGCATACATGTGGATGCCTTGCACCATCAGAATGAAATCTGGAAGAGGAAGGTCAAGGAAAACATTCTGGGAATGCTTGTGGGAATAGAGACACTGTCCAAGAGGGGAAAAAGCCAATAGGACAGGCAATAAAATATTGACAATCAGAATCACCAGGATGATGATCAACCTGGATACCATCATAAAGAGTGTGTGTGGTGCCAGAGGTGGAAAGGATATCAGGTATCTAACAAGATGGGAACTGCCTACGGAATGCAGCGCTGTTCTATGCTGGTCAGGGCTTCTGGTCCCAATTCCCACTGATAAACATTTACAGACGTTAAGGCAGAAGTGTGGAGAAGCCTTGCTTAAATATCAAACCAGCTACAGAGTCAGCAAGCTGTGAGGGCTCCCACTATACACTCCTACCTTCTCTGCATACCTCCTTTAATCTTACTGCTCTCCTGTCTCTCAGAATTTCCTCTGCGCTCCAGAAACACATGATCATACAGCCTCATAGGTAAAACAAACAGTTGTTTCAAGAATGGGCTGTTACCCAAAATAACTTATTAGCTTATTCCCAGCCATTTCTTCCTGTCCTCTAACTTACTCCAGCACTAACACAGACACAACTAAGCAGTGACTGAACCCAGCCCAAATAAGCCCCCCCCAGTGAGCACAAAAGGGCTGAGCAGGGGATGAACATGAAACTCCATGTACACCTGGTTGGGGTGTCTGCAGCCTCCACAACTAAAACCCCATTTGTAAAACATGTAGTCTTACCAGAAGTCAATAAACCAGCAGCTCCTCTCCTCAATGCCATGGCCACTGTTAGAGCAGATGACTGGCTGTAGAACCCTGGAGCACGTATACAATCTTTAGACACCTGATTACCACTCCTATCCCTCTATGCTCTCAACACATTTTTAATCTTAGTCTTTGGCATGATTACAAATGCTACCCTGCAGGTAGCCATTAAATCAAACAGATGTTGTTCTTTACTTTAGTGATTTCATTTTGGAAATCACTAAGAATAAATTTTACAAACATTTATGGGGGAAGCGAGGGTGTAGCCCATGTAGCCCATGAGAAAAGTAGTGCACTCCTGTAAAACAGATGTAGCAAAACAAACTGATCACAGATTTGTGCCTTGACAACAATCTGAGCAGTGCTCCTAAATGCTCTGAGCTCCAAGCATGGCTGTAAGAGCCAATCTTCCCTGCTGCAGTTAGCCACTGACAATACCTGATGTGCCACAGAGCACAGCAAAAGGATACAGAGCACCACGCAGAGAGTGATGCCGGCCGATAAGGCAACTCGTGGAATTCCAGCTTTCCGTCCCTCGTTCTTCAGGTTGACCTTGAGGGTGAGAGCAGACTGGATCCAGCATGCCAAGGTCCCAAAGCCAAAGGTCAGTGATGTGCCCACATTGTGGATCTCCTCATCATTAGAAAGCTAGGAAGAAAGAAAACAGTGATTGTCTGGATTCCACAGAGTCATCTGCTAGCTACCTTGGAGAGCTGAGAGGGCAGGTCAGAGGAGAGCAAGAACCACTGGGGTGTGAGATAGAGATGCTGTATCATTTCTCCTGGTAGAGGTGTAAGGTCTAAGATAACCAAGATAAGTTGGCAGCTGTCACAGTCAAGCAGATCCTCTGTCCAAAACCAAGCACAGCGGAAAATGCAGCCTCCTGGAGATCGTCTCCACAGCCCCCTGACAAGACCCACTGATGGGTTCAGGAAGAAATACTTCTCTGGCTTGACACAATGGTCAAGGCAGGCAAGGACAACCTGCCAAATGCTTATTCAGCTCCCTGCAATGACAGCAAACTGCAACCTTCAGGTGCACAGAGTAGTGCCATTCAGATAGTGAGCTGCCAGAGCCCCAGCACCTCCACTGAGCTAGCAGAGATAAGCTTCTGTTTTGGCAAGCTTCTACCAGAAACTGCTGACTGCTTGTTCCCTCTTCCACCTCTCTTAAGCACTGGTATCTGAGGCAACACGAGCTCAACCCCATTGGAGTGCAACTGCTTTTCTGTCTCTTAGCTGCCATTTCTCATAGGACTCAGTGACTGACTGTGTAGTGCTGCAAAGGAACAGGACAGACACATTCTGCAAGCGAAAGTTTGCAAAGAGACCCCTCCAGGATGTAAATACATTCAGAAAGCCCACTAAGCACAAGGCTTAGGCTAAACATTTTCTCCTTTCCCTCCTGTTCTAAATAATAAACCTCTTCTAAATAATAAATCATCAGTGCATAATTCCTCCTTGCAGCCTTGATTCCTGTTCCGTGATTTAACCAATTCCCAAACAATGCACAATGTGCAAAATAGCAGAGTAGTCACCCTGCTTCCACTGATCCCTTCCCTCTCTGTTTTTTTTAGGGTTGTTCTTTTCATGGGGTTTGGTTTTTTTTGGTTTTTGTTTGAAAAAGAACAGGTCCAAATTAGGGTAGAAGCAAAAACAGGATTGAGCTTGTTTTCCCAAGGCAGCCTGCACTGCATGGGACTTACAGCTTTCATGGTGACTCTAAAATACCAATACCCAATCTGTAATTTTCTAGAAATGTGATTTAATGCCATATTCAGCTCAGTCATTAGGCAGGGAAAAGCATGGGCTATAGTCTCATTACCACATGCTTTCATGGCTTGGCACAAGATCTAAGCAAGGATACAGCTAACTAACAAGGAGTGGATTATTAGTCCAAAATTTTTAACCATGAAAAGATTCGCAGCATCCACTTTACAAGAACAAGCATTTGCTCTGAGGGGGAGAAAAAGGGAAGATGTCCAAACTGCTTTCTATTACTTAGTCCCTGTCATAGAAATATTCTTCTTGCACCTATACGTGGTACAAGGGCCTTGTAATTCTTAGTTGAGAAGCTCTCATGAAAAAGTAAACCTACAGGTTTTTGGCCTTGGTTAGCAAGACCTCCAGAACAGTTAAATTAGCTCACAGAAAAAAAGAAAGACTGTAAAGGACACAAGGTTTCTACAATTGCTCTACAACTCAAACAACTACTAATCCTTCAAAGAACAGGTCCTTTTTCTGTATTAGCAGGAAAACCATCTCCCTTCCTGCAAAAGCAGCTGAGAAGCCTTTCTCTGCTCCTGGCAGCTGAGGTTCTTTACTTGCATCCCAGTAAGAGACAGAACAACAGGGAGAATACTGGGATAGGGAAACCAAAGCAGCCCACTTGCTCTCACGGCTTGATTTTCACTGCAGAACTGACAGACACAGACCTGTGATCACACTGAACGCACACCCCACAGAGTAAGGCTGCGGAGCTGACAGCTTGACTGCTTGTCAAGCAATTGCAGAACAGATGGAGAATTGCCGGGACCTCATCCAGGCACCCATCACACCAGGGAGAGTGGCAGCATTTCTCTGCTGCATCCCTCTCGTGGGAGTCAGAGGACAAGCAGGAGGTAGGTTTAACCAACAAATGTTTTAAGTGAAGGACACTAAAATGTCTGCTAAATGTGTATGGGCAGCTGTGCATCTGCTAACACAGATGCAGATATAAACTTTCAGCTCAGTCCATTTACCCGGGACCATCTGCACCAAACCCCAGGGCTCAGGAGATTCAGAAGGCTCCCTGCTCTGGCTCTCAGCAGGTCAAGCATGCATGAAATATATGAACAATTACCACCGTCCTTCATCCCTGCATGTTCTGGAGCCACAATAAGCAGCAGGCAGAGTTGGCACAGTGGGTATGAGGAGGGTTGGGGTGCAACCAGACACATGTAGTTCAAAGACCTGGGCTGACCTGCTTAAAAAGCAGGAGCCTTATGACACACACACAGCAACGCGAGCCTGGCGTGCAGTACCTGGAAGTTGCCGAGTAAGGTCATCCCAAAGGAGGCCAGGCACAATGCCACCAGGCCACTGACATTCAGCCAAGGGTTCAGCACCTTTGGTTTCAGCTGAATGAAGCGCAGAACAGCAACAACAAGTGCTGAGGAAGAAAGAGAGCAGGAAGAAGGTCATTAGGTAAAATGTGCTGCAGAAGTTACCTGGCTGGGCTCACAGCTGTTTTCCATCCTCTGCTAACTGCTAGGGACAGTCACTCTCTGACTAACGGGGCTCACCTGCACTTTTCTACTATTATTTCTGCAGCATATGATCCTTACAAAAGAGAAACCATGTGACCTTTTCTTAAAACAACAACGAGATTGACAAAGGGGAATTAAAAAGTCACCTTCCTGCTTTACATGCAAAACAATGCCATTTTGATTTTTCATAAATGCTAATGTTTCTGGCTTTTGTGGTTTCTGCTGGTTCTTCTCTAGCAGCAAAGTCAACACAGGCACAGGCTCAAGGCAGCCAATCAGAAGCACCCCAATGCAGCACAGCAATCCTACCTACTGCGGCCAGCCTTGCCTCATCCATAAAGCAGAGACAACATAAAAACAAATCTGCAGTCTGGAGATTTCCCCAGTTTCACTTCTTCTCGTAGCGAGGAGAAGCAGTGATGAAAACAGACAGTAGAGCTGGACTTCAAAAAGCTCTTGCTCTCCTTCACAGCACCTGCTCTCATGCTCGGGTGACTCTGTCCTCACGTCTACCCAGATCACAGCACCAAGACAGTCCCTGCCCTTCCATACAGCCCACAAGCTGGAAGCAGAGTTGTTTATAATATTTGAGACTGTGGCTTGACCTCCAAACAGTGCCACATGAAAACAAACTCAAAGGATGCCAACACTCCCCCGAGAAGTGATACTTGAAAACAAGGAAGTTCAAGTCAGGGTTCACAATGAAACTCATCTCACTGGATTTTGCACTACCAAGCTGCATTTTCATTAGGGCAGGTTGAGATTGTCAAGGGATCTTACTTGTATACACACTGGTATGGATTCATCTCAAAGCTCAACTCAACCCAATTTCTCAGAACCAGAAAGAAAATATCATGTCTTTCACTGATAGCAGCAGCAGAAAGAGCCAAACTGGCAGCACCGAAAAGTGTCCCACAAAGGAAAAGTACTACACAAGTAGCACAAGTACTACTAAATAAGAGCAAACACAAGTTAAAATAATCATTTGTCCATATCAGTTTGGGATAATTTGTTCAAAATAAGTAAAGGTGTAGGTAACAAACACTCTAAGAGCCTAACGCAGATATTTTTTCCAAGCATTTGTACTTTCCAGATATTCCTTCTATTTAACATTGAGTGTTTTACCTTTAACACCTGCTGCTGGAAGAAGCCAGTGAGCTCTCACAGCTTCAGTAATGGAATTTGGGAATGGGTGGGGGTGCAGGGCAAGTTCTGCATAATAAGTTGTTGCACTTGTAAAATTATGGCATGGAAATATTCACATTTGTAGCTCAGAACAGAAACCCACCATCCAATGAAGAACAATCACACAGCTTCAAGGCTAATGAAGCTCAAACATATCCAGCCTCATTCTGTCTTTCTACAAATGAAGCCAAAACAATCCTGGCTTAATCAGCAGCAATCACAGCTTAACGGATTTCACATCAGCAGATCTAAGAACGATGCATATTGGATATTACTTATGTTTCAATGACTTCTTACAATAAATTACGAGAGAGAAAGAAATAATTCTCCTTGTGGTTCCTACCTAGAAATGCTGCCATGTTCATGACTTGGCTAAACACACAGCTCGCAGGAGGAGCATCACCTGCAATACTTGGAAAACAAAGTGTACCACTGTAACTCCAGGATAGCAAAGACATGTGAACAACAGCTATTCATCACAACAGTAAAAAGAAAAAAAAAAAAAAAAAAATCACTCACCTTATATAAGGTGGTCTTTTGGAACCAGGTTTCCTATAAGACATAAGTGCACAGAAATTAAGATTCAAGAACTTCTTTCCCATTTTGTTTTTATCACTTCATTATTTTAATGAAACAACTAATTGAAAGCAAAGCCCACAGACCCCTCTTACCTCTCCGGTACATTTAGTGCAATAATTTTGTTATCTTCCACTGCTATAAAGTATCTGTCAGGAAAAAAAAAAAGACACAAACAGCCTCAAACCTCATTCTGGCTTCTATTCCAAATATCACTCAATCTGGTAAGTACCTTAAAGCCCACTGACACACAGTCAGGCAAAATCAGATCCTAAAGAGGCAGCCAGTGCTCAAACAGGCAGCTTTGTTTCCCAGCCCGTTGCCTGCCTTTCTGTTACATCTGCTCTGCATGGCCACGCGGAGAAGCAGATCACCGAAGTGGACTAAAAATAATCACCCAAGGAAACATTTTCATTTTGAATCTGGATCATTCGATTCACCTGGTTCACTCTGCTTCCTCCACAAAAGCTGTTTTAGCAGCAATAGGTTCAGATAAACAGCTTAAGCTATTCCTGCTGCTGAAAAACATCCTCAGATCCATGGCCAAAGTCACATCCTACGATACAGCACTTCTCGGGCTGAGCAGAGCTGCTGATTGCACACTTCTCACTCCTAAATTCATGCTGCAGTTGTCTGCCTGCATGCCTGGGGAGAGAGCCCACTTGGGTATATGCACACCTTGTATTTTTTTTGTTAAAAAGGGCTGCTGAGAAAAGCGAGGCATCAGCATTATGCTGCCAGCAGGCTGTCCATATGGGGCTGTATACTCCATGTTTGGCTCCTCATCCCAAAGCAGAGCCTGAGCACTTCTTCAAGAGCTCTGCTGAGTCATTTACAGAAAAGGTATGGCGGGAAATTTCTGCATCTTGGCCTCCTGTTTTTTTTAGGCAGTTTCCAGTAATGTGTGCCATGAGAAAGATAAGGTCAGAAACTTGGCCTGGGGAGCACAGAAACTCAGGAAAATGCACATGCTCCTCCATGGGCCTGCCCTTGACCCTCTCAAGTGCATTTCCAGCCCCACAGAAACTCGAGCGTTCCCCACAGATTCACCCTCTGAAGTGCAGCAGGTAACTTACACTATCCATAATCCAGCTGACGTAAATAGGGTAAACACAAGGGGTAAAAACATCCACACACTACATTTCTTCCCGTCCATACCTGCTAAAAACAAAGAATAAAGTAGAAAGGAAAAGTAAAAAGAGAGCACAGGCAATCAAACCCCTTGCCCAACCCATGCTGGAAGCAGCAAGAGCATCCCCACAGCAGGGACCAAGACCAACCTCACAACAGGCAGCCCAGTAGGCTTACCCCACCACTGTAACTGGTGTGAGGGGCTAAGCTGCAAAATGCAGGCAGCAGCTGCTGCACTGCACAGGAACAGAGAGCCTGCAGCAGGGAGACTCTTTTCAGACACGCATGTGGCAGGGGGGTTGGAGATTCACGATCCTTGAGGTCCCTTCCAACCCTGGCCATCCTGTGATTCTGTGATTCAGACATACCTAGGGAACAGGGGTAGCTCTCAAAGCATTCTCCTGAAGCAGTTTGTACAAGGTCACTCCACGAGACCTGCATCCCTCACTCATTGCTCCTTTCCAGAGGCACGTGGCAGCACAGCCTCCCTCCCGTGATCATTACCCATTCCACACACATCATATCGGCACAGTCCGCAGAGCAAAGGGAGACAGAAGCACATGTTCTCTCCTCACCCCCACAAAGCACACGACCAGCTCCCATCCTGGCTTACAGCAATCAGCTAAAAATGGTGTTTGGATGCTTCCGAAGGGGAGCCAAGCTCAAATGTTGTCAGAATGAGGTGTGACGAACAGGACCAGCTCTTGATGCTGTGCAATGCTGCATGGGCCTTAAGGATGCTGTGCACATCCTCTCCTGAGGAAGTATTTGTCCTACAGGCAAGATCCCACTGGACAAGGCTGTGAGATGCCGGGACCATTCCTGCAATACATGCAATTCAGAAGTGCCACGATGGCACCACGCTCCAAACACAGAACACCTTGTATACCCTGTGAGCCCTCTGACAATGGATCAAATACATCCTCATACTCTGTTGTCCTGCACAAACATTCCTTCAGGCATCAGCGCGGCCAAGAGATGCAAACAGAAAGCAAACAACAGGAGGCTCTCTGCTCCAGCACCCACTTTGATTTCCCAAGGGCAGCAGCCCTACATCAGCTGTGCCGCCTTCCTGCATGCTGCGCATTGCTGGAGGGGCACAACACATTTGATGCAAGGCCCGAGGGATCATCACACCCTGAGCCACACCATGCTTGCATAAAACCAGAAGGCTCAACCGAGGCTGAATCACAAACCGTAAAAGAAGGATAGGCCAGCAAATAAGATCTCTTCCCTTGGCCTGGGAGCAGAGGAAACTGCATGCAGGGAGCACAAAGCCATGCAAGCATTAAATACTTCAGTGTAGCAAGCAATCAGCTCCAGCGTGTAGATGGATCTTCAGCATGGTGCAGCAGAACAGAAGAAATTGTTGCTGTGGGTGGAGCACATTCCCCCACCCATCTCATCTCTATTCCTCTCCCTGCACAAAGGACTCCGGTTCCCCACGGCCCCTGCTGCTCCAGCTGCAGCTGTTCTATGAGCAGTGCCCTCGCCTTTTTCTCCCGCAGCCCATAAATATGCAGTGGCATCCCATAGCTGCAGCTGAGCTCCTTGTTCCCATCCCGCTGGAGGGGAGCAAGCAGGTAGATGTCACCTCCCATTAAAGCCTGCTGCTAGCACAGCTGTCCTGCTTTCTACTGGACTAAGCCAAGGCAGCACAATTCTTTCAGCTCAAAGACAGTAGGTCTTGTGGCTTACCCTTCCCCCTCAGGAAGGTACAAAGAATGCACGGACACATGTAAACCAGATACTGGAAATAACACTTGTCTTCATTACTGGCTCACCACAGCTCCTCGGCCTTCCAGTGCACCTCTCTGCCAAGAAATCACAGCCTTCCCAACCTACTTCAGTGTTGTCTGCTGGGAGGAAAGGCAGGTGGCACAGGGACTGAGAATAGTTTAAAATCAAGATTTGCTTGGGCACATCACACTTGCACCCTGCTGCATTGGCTGGGTGCAGAACTAAATCACGTGTCACCTTACCTCTTTCCAAAGGTTAGCATGTGCCAACCCTGCACTGCTGTTCAACTGAGACCATTCTCAGTCTTTGCAGTAACCTGCTCGGGTCTTGGGTTCATGTCTTGAAGTGGGGAGGCCACCAGCACCACCACCAGCAGCCAGGGATGAGAGAATAAGGAACGCAGTCAGCACCCTCCCCCGAGCCAAAATAAAATGTCAAGTGGGAAAAATAACCTAAATTCCCCTCGGGGAATGTAGAAATCATTTCTTTGAGAATTAATTGCTCCGTGGGGATGACGCCGAGCCAACCTTCCCCTCTGCAGCTCTGCTCTGTGCTGCTGCCACCAGTGATGCCGAATCTGAAGTGTCACCTCCAGATGATGGCACCGGCCATCTCAGCAGTCCCAAATAAACACACTAACTTCAACCAAGAGGCTGTTTGGAATTGCATGCACCTGTTTTGTCTTCTCCATTTTATTTCTAAGGTTTGCAGCAAAGGGAAAGCTTTAGGCAACCAACGGCCCTGTGGTGACACAGGCTCCCAGGGCTGACAAAAAGGTGTTTTCAGTGTGGCAGCTAACCCAGCCAGAGGCAGCCCGCTGTCCCAAAAGCACACAGCACGCTTTTCCAGTCCCTCCTGACACAAGGCCTCAGGCTGGCATCAAAAAAACCTTGCTATTTCAGAACAGGGTGCAAAGCAGCAAAGGCTGGTGCAGAAGGCATAGAATGGCCTGGGTTGAAAAGGACCACAACGATCATTTAGTTTCAACCCCCCTGCCACGGGCAGGGTCACCAACCACTAGACCAGGCTGCCCAGAGCCACATCCCGCCTGGAGATCCTAGGGATTTCCCTCAGCATAGGCTTTCTCTGCTGTCTCCATGCCAGCCCTCACGCCTAAACCTGCTCACACCATCAGCCAATTGCTTTGTTCTTGCTGTCAGTGCCCCATGGTACTCCCCCAAGCAATTAAACTCCTGTTCCTCTAATGTAGGCAATTCAATAACAGCAGGCAGCTCACCAAATCTATCCTGTCACGAGTTTATTTCATGTAAGCATCTTAATTTCATCTGCCAAGAATGTCATAGGCTCTTCCTGGAGTTGATTTTGCCAAGAGCCACGAATGCAAGGAAGGACAACACTGCCACACTAATGGAGTTGCAAATCTTTGTCAAGATGAGAACATGCAGAAGCATCTCAAGGGCCCATTCACAAGCTGCACGACACGCCAGAGCAGCATTCCTTCAGTAGGCATTTCACAACAGCCGGCCACTGAGTCATTTCAGAGAATAGCCACGGAGCCAAGAGTGCTGGGAGAAGGAGGAAACTGCTCCAACTCTACAGCAAGGCATAGGGAAAGGATGTTAGGCAGCCAAGTGGAGCAACACAAACTGAGGCTGCATTTTGGTGAGCCTCTGTTGGCTTTAAATGGAGGGCCCGCTACAGCTTTCTGTTGCTTTTCACAAGTGAGAATAACCGCAGCCTCTCGACGCCTGATGACGGCGACAGGAGGGACACGCAGCAGCACCTGACGCAACACACCACCTGCAAGCTACCGGCGCCAGCACTACAAAGCAGGGCCCTTTGCATTTATCTCAAGGTCCTGAGCGCAGGGTGACGGAGATAAGGCGCGCCAGGAATTGGTCAGTAAAGATCAAAACAGCGGCACTACGCGAACCCGCCAGCCATCAGACGCTTCGGCACCCAGCTGCAGGCTGCGCAGCGCCCGAGTGCCATTCTCCTAAGAGAGGAACGGGAAAAGCTACGGCCGCCTCCAGGCTGCACGTGGGGACGAGCAGGGGACGCTCCGGCAGCCCCGCAGCAGCTGCCTTCGACCAACGGCTCTCCCTGCCTCACAGCCGGGGGAGAACGGCCAACCGAACACCAACACGCCGCCAGCCCCGGGGCTGCGCGCCATCCGTACCTCCGAACGCCGCCCTGCCCGCGGCCGGCACACGGTACTCACGGGCCACGCGGGGGACGGCGCTGAGCGGCCGCGCTACAGCCGGAGGCGACGCCTGGGAGCAGCCCCGTGCCGGGCCCGCCTTTCTGGCATCGGGGTCTCGCGTCGCAGCGGGCTGCTGGAGGGAGACGAACGCGTGCAACTGGCCGCGCCGCCGGGCTGCTCCGAGCGCCGCCGCTGCTCCGCAGGAGGAGCGCAGCCACGCACGGCTCGGCCCCGAGGCGCGGGCGGCTCCTACCTGAGGGCGGCGGCTGCTCCTCAACCTCCGCTCCCGGCGGCGACGGCGGCAGCGGCCCGGGGAGGGGGGGAGAGAGAGGCGGGAGGAGGGGCCGGGCTGCCGCCGTCGCCGTCCCCGCCCCGGCCAGGCGGGGCTCTGGCGGCGGCACGGCCCCCTGCGGGCGGGCGTTGGGATCGGTCACCTTTGGCTTTAGCGGCCGAGCTCGAAGCGAGCCTTGCGCGGAGCCGCCGAGGAGGGAGAGCCGCAGCCCGCTGGTTCCAAACGGAAAAGAAGACCCGGCAGCCGATGGCAAACCTCCTCCGTCGCTTCGACCCTGCCGCCAGCCAAAGCTGGAAGGGAAACAATGCGGCATATGGGGTTTTAAAGCAATTTCGTTCTCGGTAAACTCCCGAGTGCTTGAGATATTTTGTTCGTAGGAGCTCTTTTCTGAGCAGATGGCATCCTTCCTAGTGCTGGGAAACGCAGGGTGCCGGTGGCACACCGAAGACCTTTCAGAAATTCATCGCGGCTTCAAAAAAGCACACATCCCCGGGGCAGCAGCGGAGGTGGGAGCGAGCGCTGTGGGATGGGACGCAGCAGAGCGGCAGGGCCCGGCTGCAGGGCTGCTCCTCCAGGTGGGGAGGGCCGCGGGCACGAGGACTTTGGAGCCGCGTCCTCAGTGCCTCACCTTTGCAGATCGCTCTGTGAGATCTCTTTGATGTGCCTCCAGGGCCTTCCCCATCCCACCTTTGTCCCATCAGACATTGGTCACAGAATCACAGAATCATTAAGGTTGGAAAAGAGGTCTCTAAGATCACGCAGTTCAACCTCACACCCATCCATCCCTACCGCGTCCCTCTGTGCCCATCTCCACGGTTCTTCAACACTCCCAGGGGTGATGACTGCACCACCTCCCTGGGCAGCCTGTGCCAGTACCTCACCGCTTTCTGAGAAGAAATTATTCCTAATATCCAACCTGAACCTCCCCTGGTACAACTTGAGGCCATTTCCTTCTGTCCCATCACTGCTGCCCAGGAGAAGAGGCCAATCCCCACTTTACCACAACCTCCTTTCAGGGAAATGTAGGAAGCAACAAGGTCTCCCCTGAGCCTCATTTTCTCCAGACTGAACAGTCCCAGTTGCCAGTTCATGCATTCTAGACTCATCCTGCCCATGTTCCCACTGGGCTTTTCCTGCTGGGCGACGGGGAACCTGCCTGGCAATTTACCTACCCCAGAAAGGAGACCAGCTCCAATACATGCAAATGCTCAGAATCACAATTTTCCTCCTCTCGATGCCTTGCAGCACATGGGTGATCCCTTACCACACTTCACCACATCAGTGCTCTTGGTGAGGACCAAACTATGTGCCAGCTCTGTGCCCACCTTCTTCTCACGATGCAGAGGAGGCTAACAATGCAGAGGAGGAGCAAGAGTCCTTGTGCCCCGACATTGGGTGTCAGGATCTGCCTCAAAGCTATTTTTCACACAAAAGAGAGGATTTCCACAAAGCAAATCCCACCTCACAGACCTCACCCACAGCTCAGGGAGAAGCAAAGATAAGCCCTGTCAGGGATGGTTTGGCCATTGCAGGCTGGCTGTCATTTTGCTTGGCTCTTCTTCAGGGAAAGAGGTAAATAAGAGAGAAAGAAGGAAGAAAAGAGAATTGCTCAGCATTTGTTTTCATTCCTGGGACATGCATGTGTTCTGAAAATAGATATACCACCTGGTTTTCCTGTCCTGTTTCTTTCCACTCCCGAGCTGGAGCAGGGCTGGACAAGAAGCATCGCCCACCCAGCAGTGGGGGCGGGAGGAAGGGGCCAGGGATCGCTCAGAGCTGCAGCACATCTAAATACAGCACCTGAGCAACTGTTCCTCCGCTTCAGTGATAGCCCTCATTTTGTTAGCCAGATCAACTCTCACCAAAGCCATCTGTTCCTTCATCCAGCTTTTAAAATATTTTGATAGACTTCATTTTTCCAAATGCCTTGCTGTTAAACATGTGCCGTCTGAGCATGCACACCTGCTGGTTGGAGCAACAGGCATGCTCCAGGTTTGCTGGAGGGACCACTGCCTGCAGAACATCCACTCTCACTCTAAGAAGTATCCCCGGGTCCCAGACCTTCAAGACAAGCTCTTCTCAAATTGCCCACACTATCCCCATCGAGAAAAAGTCATTAGGGTTTGGGACTAGAGCAGCAAGTGGAGGTGACTAAGGTGACCATCACCCTCAGTTAATACTGTGCTTATCAGCTCTGATAAGCATCAGTTCACTTCTGTATCTTTTTTCACTGCAACTTTCCCCCAGGCATCTTCCAAAGCCCACAGTAGGTGCTTTTGTACTCTTGTCCTGCCTGCAGGCTTTGCTTTTGATCTTTAGGGATGCATCTGGTGTGGAGCAGAGGCAGGGCTTCACCTGTGCTGGGCCCAATTCCAGTGTGGTCCAATTCCTCCCATTCTCCCTTATGTAATGAGGCTGCATTTGCTATGTGTGCAGCTGTGGAAACTTGGTGTTCCAGCTCAGGGACTGGGCACTGCTGAGCTCGTGCTGTGGTGGCAGATGGGCACTTGGGCTTATGTGGAGGAGCAAACAGCTCCTCCACTGCCTGGCTCTGCTCTGGGTTCCTCTTTACATCAAAGGAAGATCCTGAGGAAAATTAGACCTTGATTCCTAGAGGTTGTGAAAAGGAGCCCCATAACTTCCTGTGAGACCCTTTTTGTGTGATAGTACAGCTACAGAACAGCCCAGGAGCAAAAATATTGAGGCGCTACAAGTCCAACCTGATTGTGTTTTGAGGGCCACAACGTGGCAATTGATACATCATCAACCTTCACAAATCCCAGCACATCAAGAGCCCTTCAGGATGCGAACCAGGCTAGGTGACTGAAGCCTGTAGTGACATTGCTGCACTGACAGCATGGCGGAGGCCCCAATGGACACTGACCTTTCAGAAGAGTGGCTTATTCCTAGGATCCTCCTTCCCAACCGCCTGCTTTAATACCAAGGGCCAGACCACATTTCCCATCTGCTGGGCTGGTTTTCAGGAAGGTTAGCTGATGGTTTCTGGATCCAAGAAATTATCAGCCTAAGCCAGGGGAATGCATTTGCCCAGCACAAGCTGCAGGGTGAGATAGGGACACAAATATTGCCCCGCCTGAAAATCAACCGCTGAGCCCCAGCAGCAGACACCCATCCTGCCCACACATCCACTGCCCACACAAGGCACCTGTGCTGGAGTTCTGCGTCTCAGCACTGTGCAGGACTGTGGCACAGTGCCCAGCACCATGGCACACAGCAGGATTGCCTCTGGCTTTCCCCAGCACAGCAGCAGGGCTGCAGGGCAGGAGTTCACACATGAGCTTTCTGCTCCACTTGGCTGCCTTTCAGAAGCTGTTAAGTGAACCCTGATGAATTTCTTAGCTCTGGAGCTCACACTCTCCACTGAGCCTGTTTCCAGGTGCAACTTTGACAGGAGGGGGTTTTTGCTTCTGTTCACCCCCTTCTCCAGGGGATTGTCTGAATGTAGCACAGCCCGTACACCCAACAGAAACTGCAGATGGGGTGAAACAGCCTGGAAGCTCCACTGTAATCAGCAGCCGCAACCTCAGCTTTGTTCCAGTTGTGCTTGCCTCTGTACTCTGACCATGGTGTTTCTACACAGCCCTAATGGGATTGCATCAATATTTGTGTAACCAAGTACACACTGGAAATTACAACAGAAGCTCTCCTTCAATTATGTGCCAAGTTCCAGCCCATGCAGAGTGTTTCTCTGAGCTTACACAGGACAGAAAGGAGAAGACCTGCTTGGGGGTTTCTTCTGTGGGAAGGAACAAATGATATCTGAACCAACATTACATTTTCTCAGAGCCTCACCTATTCTGGCAAAAATCATAGAATCATAGAATGGCCTGGGTTGAAAAGGACTACAATGATCATCGAATTTCAACCCCCCTGCCATGGACAGGGTCACCAACCAGCAGACGAGGCTGCCCAGAGCCACATCCAGCCTGGCCTTGAATGCCTCCAAGGATGGGGCATCCGCAACCTCCTTGGGCAACCTGTTCCAGTGCGTCACCACCCTCTGTGTGAAAAACTTCCTCCTAGTATCTAACCTAAACCTCCCCTGTCTCAGTTTAAAACCATTTCCTCTTGTCCTCAGCCTCTGCTGAAAGTGAGAGCCCACAGCCTTGAAACTCTCAACACACAAACACTCCTGAAGAGGAAAGCAGCACATGCTGTTCCTGCCTTAGCGAGACTCCACAGCTCCCCTGCTGCATGGTACGAAGCTGCAGTCCCACAACCCCACATACTGAGGGAGACCACACGACAGAATACAGCCAAGACTGTTTCCATACCAGGGAGGTACCTGAGTTCTGCTCACATTTGGGACATTCATTTGGGAAACATCATTTTTTCCTGCAAAGGAGAAATGATATTTTTTTTATTGCTCCACCATGTAGTGAAAGTAGAGCCGAGGAAGTTACAAGCTCATGCCTAAGGCATTTGATAGAGGATCTTTATATTTCCAAATGATGGCTTACCTTCGTTTTTCAAAATCACAGCTAACTTGCAAACAGTTCCAAGGTCTCAAATCCCTGAGTCCCACTGGAACTGGCATTGCTTCAAGCACACCTACAAGGAAAACAGCTGTTACCTCGTTAAAATCTCAAGTAGTCAGGCTGAGAACAGCCAGTGTCACTTTGCGGGGCTGGTTGTTTTTCTTTTCTTACAGCACAGGAACTTACAGGAATCAGCTTAGGGAAGTCCAAGTAATAGCAGTACAAAAAAAAAAAGAAAGAAAAAAAAAGGGATCTACAATGTGACAAAGACCAGCAGGAAGATGTGTATGTAAGCAGCTGCAAAGTGCTTTCACTGCAGTTCTCCAGAGAGGAAGCTACACAGAAAAAACGAAGGAAGAGCCAGTAAGATGTGTTTGTGTCTTCCCTGCTTCACTCCTACATTCAAACATCACCTGCAAGCCTGTCTCCACCATCAGTTTGAAGGCGCTCCCCAACGATTTTTGCAGCCCATCCACCCCTCAGAGAGAGAAGTAACGCTCCTGACACTCCTACACTTCCAAGCAGTAGGTAGGAAACTTCCTAGCTTCCTGCACAGGGCAGCAGTGAGACGTCTCCCATCACATGTGCAACTCCTGTGCGTGCCAAGGGCCACAGCTGCAGATGGATACACATTGAGACACACATGTCTGGCACAGCCCAGGCCTTTCAGCAAATTGCATCTGGAACAAGGAAGTAATCCAATCTCGTGGTGCCCTTCTGGTTGATAACAGTCCTCTTCCACTGAGGAGGAACGCACACACATGAAGGGGGTAGATACCTTTGGGTGCTCTGCTCTAATAGAATAGCTGGAAACACAAAGTGTAACAGTGCTGTACTTCTGACAAATGACAAACTCAGCCCTTTGCTGCTGGAGGCGTTTCCAAACAAAACGCAATGGCCGGACTAATTCATAACTGTTTATTGTAAAACACTCAAGAGTTTAACATCATTAATGGCAAATTAACACTGTTAAAACACCTGCTGGATGAAATACAGAATAAAGACAACTCTTATATTATATGGCAACATTTGAAAAACAAGAAACAAGAAAAAAAAGAATCGATTTTTAACTGTGATTTTTTTTTTTTCTTTTTCTTTTTTTAAACTCTACATCTTTCCTGAAAATACTTGGGCTGAGTCTCACTTACCTTGAGCCACAGCCGCGCTCCAGGCATGGGGCCGAGCAGCCTGAATCGAGCACCCCCTAGCGAGGCGTAAGGCGGCGACCTGCTTTATAAATGAGAATCACGCCCTCTATCTTCAAAAGTGCTCCAGTGCCGACAGTATGAAGCCTTTCTCCTGCACTGGCTAACATCTAACACTAAGGGCTGTATGTTCCATTAACTCCGCATGCTTTTTTTTTTTTTTTTTCCTTTTTTTTTTTTTTCCTTTTTTTTTTTCCTTTTTAAACAAGGCAACCATTTAGTTCAGAAGCTACATAACTGTCTTTATATTTTGCTCAGAAACCAATAGATGTTGCATGCAGCTGAAATATTAGTAGAGACTCTGACTTCGATAAAGGTCAGTTTTCAAAGACCCACAAATCAAAGGCAGAAACAAAAATGTTAGCAGCCTCTTGTGCAAAAGGAGCTAAAATATGCATGCATTCATGGCCATGACTGGTTAGAATATAACTCAGGTCTCCAAACATCAAAACTGAAGCTTCATTTGGCTTAAGACACTGTTGAGCTCTATATCTTTACAAATTACAATGTGTATGCAACAACAAAGGAATCATCTCAACATAGCATCAGTTTGTATTTTGGCCTGTATCTTCAACACAAAAGCCTGCTCAGCAGTAAATGGTTTTCATATTTAGCAAAGACAGCGGCGCGTTGGTTTGGCTAACAGGGCTAACAAAAAGAAGAAAGCAGATTTTCAAACTAACAGCTAACTAATTTTAGGCTGATTTCTCCCCTTTGACATCCTGTTTTTCTTGGTGCTCTTCCTGTTCCTTACCATCGGTTTGTAGTTGGAACAGCACATTGTGCCCTGTCCTGCCTGTCCCCTCCTAGGAACACGTCTCAAAAGCATGTTTGATTAATAGTAGAAACAAATTCTCCCCTAACTGCATTTTGAAAGGATAATTAGTTCCTCCAAACTGCAACATTTAACCATGAACAAGCAAATTACAACGTATTTCAGACATAATCTACAGTGACTAAAATTAGTTTAACTCTAATATTAAATAATATAGAACATTTTGACGTTTAATAGTCTGAAGTTCGGACATAAGACAGCTAATAAGGAAGAAAGGTCAGAGCCAAATCTATTCCTGTGGAATAAATTCAGCCCAACTGAAAAAAACTAATTTTACCCAGAGGAAAATAACTCCGAGCAGTGTGCGACGGTGCTGACGCACAGAGAAGCATTACTCTTCAAGCACTGCCATCTCCAGTCCTTTCCTTGCGTGCTTGGATCATCTCCTTTGGAGCTTGTTTCCGGTCAGTGACCAACCCCAACCAAAACATGAAGTCAATGAACCAAGTGGTGGGGTTGAACTTCAGGCCCAGCTCGCTGGCTGAGTAGTCGAAGGGGAAGGTGTGGTGGTAATTGTGGAAACCCTCACCTGGGAAAGAGAGAAGGTGTTAGAAGACTGCATGGCTGGCACACTAAAGAACTCAGGAACCCGGAGCCATGACCCCACTGCAGATTATGCTGCACCCCTGGCTATAGGAGACCTCTGGGGCAAACCCACAACTGGCTCCATTTCAGCACTCTTGATTTTCCCTGCCTGGCTACAACAGCTTCAAGAGGGGTGACTGGCAACCAATCAAATAACAGAGCCACCACTTCTAGCAGAACAACGGAGTTTTCCTCCAGCACATGCAGCCTCCTCCAAGCCCTACCTCAAAGTGGTGGCAGATTGCAGGTGCCCACAAACCCCAACCAAGGTGCAGCAGAACAGAATTTGCTCTCAGATTGCAAGCCTCTACCTAAGCCTACAACACCTACCAATGGCTCCCAGAGTGACAAAGGTGTTCTGCCTGGGATTGATGTACTTGTCATAAGGGCGGTTGCCATACATGTGAGCGGCGCTGTTGACCAGCCAGGTGACGTTGAGGGATATGGTGTACCGGAGGATGGAGGCGAGGAAGTAGGCATTCCACAGACTTTCGCCCCAGAGGTACCATGGCACAACGGTGGGGATCACAAAGCACATCAGCACGACTGAACTCTTGTAGTACCTAGAAAGAAACAAAAAGACATCACTGATGTAGTGGGAATGATGGCAGGGGAATGAGGAGTTGGGTATCACAAGGCAAGTGCCTGTGAGAACAGTTGGCTGATGGTTGTAGTGCAGAAGAATATGAATGGAGCCAAGAGGCTGCAGAGGGACTGCTTCCTACTCGTGGGGTTTTAGGTTTGAATCAGATCGTTCCAACCAAGTCACCTGTCTTGACATGATATCTATTGTGATAATCCTGGCCATGCTGGCACACTCTAAACCCAAGACCTCCACATCTACTGAGCGTGCAAAGCCTTGGTGAGCACTCAGTACCATAGGCAGCTACTGAGAGCTACAGGGGATGGTTGTTGCCATTCCTGTCCTCTCTAAAGCCAGTGGCGTGAGTACTCATCTACTCACCTGCACTGAAAAGCACTTGCAGATGTGGGGGGTTGGAAAGTGCCAGGTAAGGGACAATTATGACTATTATGATACTATGGACAGATGCCAGAAAAAAAAAATGCTGCTAATCCAGGACAAAATTCAAGAATGGAGGAAAAGGCTTGACCTAAAAACCTGTTTTTGCATGTCAAACTGAAATTCTATCTTAGCAGCTCTTAGCTGTATCCAGTTCTTTGGAGCTTAAGGCGCCTGTTCTTTGTAAGAGAAACCACGCTGATGTATCAGGAGCAGTGTTAGGGAAAAGACTGCTAGTCATCCCTATTTTTACCTTTCAATACAGATTTTAGCATCATTAATACTGTGGATGTTTCCAAACTATACTCAGAAATGCTTACAGCAAGCAACCTGCTCTTAGCAAGCTAACAATCAGCTTTTCATTTCAGAAAGGCTGTCCTGCCTTGCCATTCTCCCCAGCCTTGAAAGACAATCACCCTAGCAGTTCACAGCAACAACAGCCTTTGCCATAGAGAAGCACAAAGCCAGCAGCCAGGCCAGTATGCTACTGGCTCTGTGTCAGAAGAGTCACCTTCTCTGCAGAAAGCAGTTGTGTGGCAGTGACCAGGGCCGCTTTTTGGTCTCTGCCTTTGTGTGGCTGTCAGGGCTCTCAGTAGTCTACGAGGAATGTAGGCACTTTCATGGACTGCTGCCCATGACTGGGAGGACTAAGTGAAAGTCTTGGATGAGAGGAAAACAAAAAAAAAAGAATGTACATGCAACAGAGCATGTCCCAGCTCTGCCAGCATGCAAACTGTGCCAACTCCTACGTGGGCAGCCAGAGAATGAACCAGGTACTGCATATCACAGCTGGGAAAGGAGCAGTGCAGCACAGAAAGTTTCAGCTATCTGCAGTCACATTTTACGTTTTCCAGAGTGCAATCTGAAACATAAAGAGAGCTCCAAACCCTGAAGCAGCAGGTATTGCTGGGGATGAAAAGACAAGGCCCAAATCCAGAGCAAAAACCCCAACGTTCAGTAAACTCCCAAGTCCTGAATTCAAATCCCAAGAACAGGCATTTGCTCAAACACAACTTTGCTGCACAAAACCTACACCACTGCTACGCAAAGTCTGCAGTACAACCAAGGCAGCAGAGCCTGCTTCTCAGAGGATGCTGTCATCTTGGCAAAGGCATCAACACAGCCAAGAGGTGCTGCTGCAAACTGCAAAGGAGCCTTTGCAAACACCCACTGCTGACTGAGCCAATAAAAGTGACAGAAAGTGGAGGGTAATCAGTTCCACCCTCCTGCAGTTGTTCTGAGGAAGGGGAGATTCTGCTGGCACACAGCAGAGGCAACACAGATTTCAGGACTCAACCAAATGCTTCCCTTATTCAGAAAGTGCTCAGAAATGGGTGTATGTGGTCTGCAGAGCACCTATACCAAATGCTTGCTGGCAGGGAGCATCTTCCATTTCTGCCCACTATGCAGTTACTCATGCGGAGGACACAGTGTGCTGCTCAATTCCCACCTCTCACAGATTGTGTAAGCAATTTGAACTCAGTCTGTGCTTATTCTCAGGGGAGACAAATAATCCTGTAACGGATGACAGTCCCGAGAGAAGAAGCCAGTCTGAGCTGGCCCACCAGTGCCAAAGGTGAGTTTGCAGTGAGAAGTGCACTTTTGCATTTAGGCATGTTGCAATTACAGCTTTTACTCCAATGATGAAAGCAGAAGGCCAAGAGCCCAGCAGCTTTTGCTGTGGCTGTTTTCCCAGCAAGCCCTGGATTTTGGAGAAAGATGAGGACAGGGCACGCTGCCTGCGTAACAAAGCTGGCCAAAACAGGCTGTGAGCATCAGGAGCATGGCCACAGTAGCAGGCAGAGGGATGGCAGCCCTACTGTCTGCCATCAGGGTGGCAGGGATCTCATAGGGGAACAAAGGGAAAAGGTTCCAACAAGGAAGAAGCCACAGCGACATGTCAAGACCCCTCCATCCAGCACCACAAGATGGCCACGCACTCCCACTTACTTTCTTTGGAATCTGACAACGGGGTCATCCAGCAGATCAGTGAAATCCAGCTTTCTTCCCTTTTCTATGACGTCTTTGTGCTTGCGCACAAACAGCCAGCCAATGTGGGAGAAGAAGAAGCCACGGCGGGCATTGTGTGGGTCTGCATCTGTCTCCGAGTACTTGTGGTGCACACGGTGGTCTCGGCTCCACTCGTAGATGTCATTCTGCAGACAGAGCAGAGTAGGGTAAGAGGAGAAAGGCAGGGCAGTGCTCCTGCAGAACCACCCAATTCCTTCCCCACATGGGAATGGCAATCAAACATCCACAGGTGCTCTTCAAAAACACTTGGTGACTCAAGGTTGTGGCTGGTTATCACTGACACCCTCCAGGGAGAAAAACAGAAAATGCGACAGAGCTTGTGGAATGCTTCATGTGCCTTCTCCTAACATACACAGGAGCTGAATGTGCTCAGCTGTTCTGAGGGATGAATCTCTCACAATTAAAACTGGCCTTTTAGTTACTGTTTTGTCTGCAGGGATGTGTACAAGGTTGAGACATCAAATGAAACGTACCTACTTTTTGGGAAACAAGTCTTGAATTTGCAGCCAGGCTGGAATAAGAGTCTCAGGCCCACAAGAGCAGCTCAGTGTTGAATGTAGATCAGATACAAATTAAGTTCAGTCCTGCTTCTGTTCAAACTGTCAGTAGGTTCAAGCCACTGAAATTCCCCGTGACTGCAAGTGGCACTGAGGGGATGGCAGGGAGAAAAGGGTGGATGGCAATTTCAGAACCGAAGCAAGCCTTTCCAAGTTTACTTGACTGAAGAGATATCATCCACCCAGTTTGCCTGTGCTAGACTGAACTGGTTGTTTCTGCAGCACTGCTGAGCTATTACTATTACCACAGGGAAGCCTTTGGAAAACTCAGGCCACACACTCATCTGTGAATTCAGTAGTACCAAACTATTAAAAAAAAAAAAAAAAAAAGTTAGTGCCTGGATATACAATAGCGTGAGCTTGAATCAGAGAATGCTTAGCTGAGTGCCCTTCTCTCTGCTCTTTTTGTCTTTGCACAGCCAAAAAGGGTTCCAGACAGTAATACCAAAAGAAGGAAGGGCTTGGGTTGCTTCTAGGAACAGCAGGAGCACCCACAACCACCAACAACAGGAGCTTTGGTCCCAGCAGATCTGAGGAAGCCATTTGCGGTGTCTGTTAAGAACCACAAAGCAGCAGCTGGGAAGGCAGAGGATACACTCAAGGACACAGTAAGCCTGAGCTAACAACTGTGAAGGTCTGTATTTAGTGAAACAAAAGCTCTGTGCTCAAGGTGTAACAGATCATTCCTTTCTCTCAGCTACCAACATTTGAGAGAATGTACCAAGGCCACCTGTGCTGCTGAACAACTCCAAGAATGACTGCAAATAGAAACTGAAGAATTCGGTTCAAATGCGTCAGAGTTCAATCTCAGCATTGCAAAGGTGGTCTTTAAGAGAGCCCACAGGAGACAAGTGAGGAACAAAAGCCCATTGCACAGGAAAGCAAGCCAAGTGGAGCAAAGCAAACCAAAGAAGGTCACCAAGCTCCTCAGTGCGAACAAGAGCAGATTTTTACCTTGCTGCCATTTTTTTTTCCTACAGAGAAATGAAAGGGAATACAAGCCTCTGCAATGCTTCAAGTGGCAGATTTAGTCCTCAGTGGGAGTATCCAGAAGACTACAAAATGCTACAATCAAGTCATTTAAAAACAAAACAGGGCTATGCAAGAAACACACTTAGGAGGGTCCTCTTTCTTAATGAGAAATGATCTTTCAACTGGAATTACTGAGCAGTTTGCCACAAGAATGCTTAATAGAACTATTTGTGGCACAACAGGTAACCAGGTCAAAGCAATGATAATGGTACTGTGAGAAATCCACGTGGCTTCTCACACCGCAGAAAACACCTGCAGGGTTGACAAAAATGTGATTCCCCAGATGAAAGCACTGGGAAGCTGTGAAACAACTGAATTGCATCTAATTAAAAAACACAAAGGCTAAGAGGAAATAAAGGCCAGAGGCCAGAACTGTTGGCAATAAATACACCTACAACTGCAGCATTGCGCATGTAAATGAGAGTGTATTAATAGCAATCATTTTTCAGGAATGTGTCACTCTTGATGAAGTTTCAGGTAAACACAGGAGTGAAATCTCCTCCAAAGCAGAGTGTGAGCATCGTGCTGTGACAGTGATACAGACAAGAGGTTTCATTAGTGGATCCCCTCATCAACTTGCAGACCAACACATGATGACAAACCGGGATGCATAATGAAGAAATGGTGAAAAGTGCAGTAGGCAGCAGGGCAAACACTGCTGCAATCTGATGGTGTTTCAGAGAACATTCAGCATGTCACACCCATACCCTCATGCACCATGAAGTCACCACCGTGCAGAAGAGTTGCCCCTGCCCTTCAAGAAGGCAGCATCCAGGTATTCTGCAAGTATCCTCAAAGCAATCTCTTCCTCCCAAAGCCAACAGGAGGGAGAAGGACCTGAAAACTTGCTCACTGCCTGTTTGTGGTGGGGAAGGCAATGGATGTCATGGTAGTTAGGAACAGGCTTCAGACTATTTAAAATTTAGAGTGTGTGGCTTGGCCTTTTGTTTTCCTTCTGATACAAAGCTGCACAAAGGTAGCTTGGAGGTACTTCGAAGTACTTCACTGCCTCAAAATCATATCACAACCACAGCCAAAAGCAATGATGAGGCAATCCAGCTTGACACACTCATTCGAACTACACAGGAAAGGTATGACGTGCAATAAGACAGGAGGACAGTACCAGGGGGTTATTTATAACTCAAAGTGGTTGTTGAGCATAGCGAGCAAAGGGTTTGTAAAGCTCTGAAATAACACAGCACCACAAAGCAGCAGGAATGCGGCTCAGAATTAAGGTGGGGATTACAGTAAAATGGGACATATCTCTATATTCAAACAAAAGCTCTTTGTAATGTGCAAAGAGACCAACAGGATTGATACTCTCCACCTTAGAAAGATAAATCAAAGACGATTCATCCTTGCTTTATCCTCTGAAAGGAAAAAACTGAAAACTCAGGGCACCGCACACATGTGGTACTCAGTGCCACCGGGGATAATGGCAGCCAAACCAGATAAGTGTAATGTTAGCACAGATGCATATAAGTCTTTTGAACAGCCAAAGGAGCAACTAAGTTCACATCACATTATCCTGGCTCTGGGCTACCTCCTACCACCACCTGAGTGTTACAGAAAGATTTTGAAGTCTAAGACTGCGTATTAGGAATTACAGAGCTCATAAAACACTTCGTGGTAACATATTTAAATTCTACTGCTGAAAAGTGCTGCATCAAACAGAGAAATTACAATGGTGAGAAAGGACATCTGCTCTCCTTTCTGGGCATGTGAAAACCCCTCAAAGCCTGGCTAGACAAACAAACCTGATTATGCCAACATATCTGCACAAGGTTGGCCTTTACACAAGTTTCTGAAGTGTGGGGCCTGGCTTGGGTTAGGCATGTTAACTTGATCCCTAAGTAACCATTGCTCCTGGGCTGTCTATTAAGTGATGTTGTGTGGGTGGTGAGAGGATCTCTGCATCCCCTAGGCCAGCACCATGCATCATCAGCAAGTGTCTTCCTGCTGATAGATATATTTTCACTTTTGATGTTTGTAAGCTGAAGTGATCCCCATACAGGAGATAAAGCTGCCTGGAGGCAAAGAATGAGGACAGGCAACCACAATCCCACCTGGAAGGCCATGGAGTTAGCTGCAGCCAGGAAGATCCGCAGAGGCAGCTTGGCTTTGTATGAACGGTGGCTCCACAAGCGATGTGCACCAGCCGTCACGCCCAAGGCTGTCATCAGGAAACAGAAATATGCTGAAAGAAAACAAAACACAAGGTGTGCCAGGGGCCAGCTCTTTTATTTTTGCTTTCTTTGTCTTAAAGCTGATCTTTGTCCCTGCATGCCCCTGATGCCTCTGGGGAGGCTCAGAAGATGAGGTAAGGATATCAGCCCAGCTCTGCCCAATGGCCCTGGGGATGCAGTGCTCCTCCTCTCACCCCCTTCTCACTTTGCCACTGTGTCTGTCGTTCAGGGGAGTATGGCAGCAACAAAGCACTGTGCTGTGATGCATTTGCACTGTGTGCCTTTGCCAGCTGAAGTGGAGTGAGGGTTCATCTCTCATCTCAGAAAACTGGCAATGACAGTGCCAGCCTCCTCCAGACAGGTCTTTGCTTGAGTCTCATCTGCCACCTCACTGAGAAGCATCACTTCCCATCCCTGAAAATACAAACTGTGTCAGAGTTCCCACAATAAAAACTTCTCTCACCATTGTGAGCTTATGAATCAGTACTATAAATGCACCAGGGATCTCAGCATTCACAGTCTCCTTCAGCTTCAGCAACTGCCTTTCCTTTCTGTAATTACAAGACTGGCCAAGTAAACTTGTTTTGAGCATTTTTTCAGATGGCCAACGCAGCAAGGAAGCGGCTCTGTTCCATAGGCACTGTGCTCCAGCTGCAGCTGGACACTGCCTGGCACACATGTGGGACAGCAAGGAGGGACGTACTGTGTAACCCCAAACAAACCAGGCCACTCCAGCTGCTCCCATTTCAGCTGTCCAGCTGTCATGATAGCAGGCTCTCATGTCTTCCTCCTGTAGGGAGCATTGATTTCTCGTACTGTGCCTTAATAGTACATGCTCACTTTGCAAGCGTACAATTGAGAAAATAAATAAAAACGTGGATTCAAACAACAGGAACATCACAGGACAACCTGAAATATGTTTGCATGGTGTAAGGTGATGTGCTGTTTAGCCAGGACCTCCTGCCACCTGAAACACACAGGCTGCTTGAACCAAGACCCTGGTATTCAAGGAACGTTTAGATGTTGTGTTGAGAGACATAGTTCAGTGAGAACTACTGGTGATACGTGGATGGTTGGACTGGATGGTCTTGTAGGTCTTTTCCAACCTTGGTGATTCTATTACTCTATTCTATGAAAACATGCCTATTTTTTAATACCTAAAGAGTTCCTGGAACAAAAAGGGAAACCAAAGCCTTTCTCACAAATGCAGCATACAAACGGAGTCAGAAAATCCTAACAATGATGAAACATCTCCAAAACCTGCTTTTGACTCCATCGGTGAGGGGCCACTTCCCTTTTCAGCAGGCTGCAGCATTTCTGCTACTCCTGGAAAAGGCTCATCTGTGCAGGTTCATCCAATATGAAAAGTCTATCACCAAATTCAGACTCCTGCTTGCTTCCTGAAGAGAACACACAAATGAACCAAAAACCATAACATGCATGTTATTTACACATTTTGTTTTACAACTGTCAGATCAGTAACAATGCTGGCACTGCAGCTACCTTGCAATTGTTTCCTCTGCAGTCTCGCTGTTCTCATACTTTGCTCTGTCACTGTGAGGACATGGACTTCTCTTACACAACGAGGGGAAACCTATCCTGCCATCTTCTGTATGTGATATTGAGCTGTAGCAGGCTGATGAAGCAAGAACGTGGCAGAAACATCATTAAAAAAGGCCTTCCAAACTGCTCAAATGACTGTAATTGTGGGAACAGATCTGTGACACATCCAACACTGACATTATCCCAGCAACATAAAAATATTAAGGCTGAATCATCAAACGAACATATTGCCCGTAGGTTTTACGGCTGGTCAACCTCATGCCAGCCCTGGGGGCTGAAATCCTCTTCTTTCACCTGTCCCTTCTTTGCAGGGGGTTGGTATTTAAGGATCTTCTTGAATTTTAACCCTATTTTCTACCATACTGTTAATGGAGACGGAAGGATCATCAAGAGGAGTAGCTCTCTAGACCTTCCTTAATACATGCCAAGGGGCTCTATTCCTGGCAAAGCAATGCTGTTTGTTTTTTGTTTTTTCAGAGGAGGAATCATAACAGCAAGAATCTTCCTAAAATAAAGGCTGAGGGTTGAAGCATCCCTAGGAAAAAAATATACTCAGGAGTTCGGTGGCCAGAGCAGACACATCCTGTTGGACAAATGCATGATGCGAAGCAGAGGGAGAAGCATTTCAGAGGGAACTCTGAGGATGAGGGGAAATGGATCAAACAAACGAACTTGCGTGCAAGGACAAGGGACAGAACCTGTGCATGGGGTTGCAGAGAGGATGCAGGAGAGAAAAGAGTGGAGGTTTGTGCACTGTGCACACAGGGAGCTGGCGGGTTGCTAGGCTCCAAGTGCACAATGCCTGTGCACAGATGCTATTTATGGGAACGCGCCAGAATCAATAGGCAGAAGATTTTTATCCAACATGCTTATTAATGACCTGAAACAAAGGCAAACAGCGTATTAATTATAACTGCAGATGATGCTAAATTTGGAGCAACAGTGAGAGGGCTAAGAAACACAAAAGGATCTGTACAGAAACAGGGAAAGCGTAGCTCAAAATGAGAATCAAAATGAGAAAAAGCAAAGTAATGCAGCTTAGGGCCGTGAGAACAGCCAGGGATCTGCAGTGAGGATGTGACACTTGGGGAAGCAAGTGCCTGCCAGGAGGATCACCAACAGCACATAAAATATTCTGAGCTTGCAACACGATAGGGCAGTGAAACATCAATGTGATGTTGAACAGCAGGCACAGGGGTATCATCTCACAGCCGGAGAGAAGCACTGCAAACTACACCAGGCACATCGTTTAAAAATGGATGGGATGGGAGACTGGCAGCATAAAACATTTGAGCCATCTTTTTCAGAACAGCTCATCATCCCCATGGATGGATTTCCAGAAACTCTCCTTGCATCAAGTGCCAAACTCCAATGAAAACGTGCAGGGCCAACCTCTTACAAGGATATGGGGAGATACTGCCACAGTCTGTGGCAACTTCAGAGGCATCAGAAAATCATTCTCTGCTCTACATAGTTGCTTAAATCAGTGCAGATCTCCCTCAAGTATCTTAAACTTTGTTACATGCCAAACATCAAAATTTGAACCTTTTTTTTTTTTTTTTTTTTTCCTCAATGCACATCGGAGATGTGATACCTATTAGTGAAGCCAGTGGATTCCAGATGGCTTTTGACCCTTACCTGGTTGTACCAGCAGCAGACCAACCAAAGTCAGAAATCCACTAGGCACTGGGTGCACTCTGCACACCTGTACAGACAATGCTGGCTCCTGACGTGTGTCTCAAGTAACCATTTCAAGAAGCCACTGCTATCAGCTAGCAACCAGCCACATGTTGCCAATGTCAAACATAGCCCAGTTACATGGTGCCAATTGCAATCATCTCTGAGGGACGCAGCAGCACATATGAAAATATCAGTTTGGAGATAAAATCAATTGCACATCTACAGTGGTGTGACTGTCAATATCTGAATGTGCTTTAATGTGCAGCAGTCGCTTCTCAGAGGAAGACAGCAGCCGTACTGCTCGCTGTGGTCGTGTCAATGCCAAACGCACTGGGCAGATGGCAAAGGGGCCCGAGGGAGCAGGCAAGAGGCACTTCTTAATGTTTCTTTCCCTTATTTCTTTTTTCCCCTCTTTTTGACTTTTGATAACTTGACTCGTTAAAGTAAATAACAATTTGAGGGTTTAAACTAACAGGGATGGACACGCAACGTTTGTGAGGTTACATGCTGACATCTACCTCTGCTTATTCAGCCAGAGCAAAACTGCTTGCTAGGGCATTTTTAATAATTGAATGCATAAAACTTAAGGTCTTCCATCAGGCTACAAGAACTGCGTGAGAAATACAAACAGCAAGTCACTCAAGCACAAACTCAGCATTGCAAAGCTGACTGATCACCATAAATATGCAACACCACTGCACCTGACAGTAAGGATTTTTCTAAAAATTAAATTGCATCTGCATCCGCGTTCCATTCCTCGTTTGTGTTTTTTTTTTTTTGCTGTTGTTCACTAGTAGACTTAGGACTAACACCAGCTAATCTGCCCAAACTCAGAAAGTGTTGCTCTGATGTTCAGTGGCGGCCTAACTCCTTTTCCACCAGAGACACTGAAGGAAGCCTGCTCTCCTGACCTGGAACTGCATTTACAAAGGAGGCAAACCTCCCACTGTGGGCCGTGCCAAGAAAAAACGCGGAGTTGGTGCTCTGGCCCCAGGGTCTCTGCTGGCAGAAGCGGCCGAATGGCCACCCTACTGTTGGCTGAGCCCTGCTAACTATCAAAGGCTGGCACCAGGAGCACCTCAGGCTGGCTTCAAACCAACAACCCAGAATTAAAAAGAACCATTTCCCCGAGTCACCCGCTGTACAGCGCGCGCCTGCACTCGGGGGAGCTGTGCAATCATGTGAAGAGCAATCGTGTGAAATCTCAGGGCAGGAGTGGGTTCATCTAAAATTAGATCTACGCATTTTCTGAGCTGCTCTAATTGGAACTGAGAGAGAAAGAGAGGAGATGAAACATATCGAATGGACGTGGGGAGGCAGAGTTTGGAGTTGCAAAGAAGAAGTTTGACTGTGGTACTCCACGACAAGCCATCTGTCATAGCCTCCCGAGCTTGCTGTCACCAGGCTGGGAAATCCAGTCTGCCCCTGCTTCAGCGCACATGCTCACGTATGCATTTTCAGGAATGTTCCCCAGAGCCAGCCCTTTTGGCTGAGTATACAAAAGACTTTATTCCGGTTGGAATAGCAGAAATGTTCACTTCGACAACGGAGGCCAAAGTGACGTTAAAAAAAAGCCAATAGAGCAGTGGAAATTGCAGATGACAGCGAGAATTCCAGAGAATGCTAAAATTCTCCCAGGAAGCACATGCAGATTCCCTGAACTCACCAGCGATGGAAGATTGCCTGAAGATGCTGAAGAGCTTGTATTTTTAGATCAAAAGAGAAGGCTGGAAGATGCTCCGATTTCTCTGAAATTTTTGATGCTTCCGTGTAGCCTCTCTCAGCTCAGCTGGATCCTACATCATCACAGAACCACGGGCAGATTTCTTTTCTCTCCCCATGACCTCACTGTTGCCCTCAATCCACAGGCTGGCTAGGGCTCCACTGGCTTTTAAGTGCTCTAGAAGTGCCAATAATGCCAGTTTTGTCTGTTTTCTCAAGGATGGAAAGAGTGTGTGCTTGAGCTGTCAGCCCTCAGCAAACTCAGGCACATGGGTCTATGCTTCTGCATTAAAGGTGGGAGCCAAAGCCATCATCTCCTAGCATGACCTGTCCCAAAACTCAAGCTCAGTCCTATGTTTTTGCGGCCACTGCTCCACCACCAGCCCCTTCTTCCTCCCAGAAAAACATAGTTCTCCTCTTGGGCATCACCTGAGAAGCCAGACAAGTGGAAAAAGCCCACTCCAGAAATCCCATCCTCCTGGTGTGGAGCAGTGTGGGCAACGCAGGATTCCTGCCGCCAGCAGCTGGCACTCAGCTCTCCCCTCTCGTTCACATCAGCCTAGCTTTACTCAGTACAGTAATTCTGAATGCTCTCTGGCAGGGCATCGCATTTTATTGTTAGCCTCCACGGTGAAAATAAAATCTGATTGCGAAAAATTGCTCGGCTTCAATTATAACATCAGCGTTAATTGCAAGCACAACCATAATTGCAGGGAAGGAAGGCACAGTGGCAGTGATGAGGATGCATACTAAGTTCTGTGGGCAAGCTGACATTTCCCAGCCCAGCCCTCCGAAAGGAGCAAGCCACTCCTCTGACCGCAGAGACCAGAATGAGCACAGATGAGCTGTTTTGCGTGGCTCTCGCTGCTCTGCCTGTTGGCATCTCCTGAAGAAGGATGAAATGGAGACAGGAAACAAATATACATGCTTAAGGCTGAACATGGGGAAATCACCTACAGCAACAGCTAGAACAGGAACACTAGGGAAGGAAAAACATCTGAGCAGCAGAAGCATCACCTCGAACAGGGAGGTCTCTGCAAGATAAGGTGTTGTGTTCAGTTCCTGCTCCCTGACCCAAAACCTTGCTTGCAGGAATCACTTGAACGTTGAACGTAACCACTGCAGGACCCAAGGGTTCTCCCAGCAGAGTGGCAGCAGAAGCAACAGTGGAAGTTTTAATCAAGCATCTCCAATCCATAGCTGTGAAATGGAGACAGTATTTTCACCTCCTTCCTCCAGAGAGGTCCCAGAGGTGCTGAGTACAGCCCATTTGTAGCCAGGATTCCTATTTATAGCCATCTGCACAAAGCTTCCAACACAATGGGAGCTTCTGTAGGCGAGCACAGCGTGCACAGAAGTGGTTAACAGCCAAAATCTGTTCATACCACAAAAGCCAGTAGATGGCACTCAAGAATATGCAAGCCTTCCGAAATGTGCAAGCCTAATAAAACTTGCATCTGCAGTGCACACCAGCAACATGTGCCTCATTGCACAGGTCACTCCCTGCAAGGACTGAGGAGGCAGCTGTGATCCTGTGGAGCCCTCTGAGCACCACGATGACCCTGTCCCAGCAGCACAATGCCTTTCAGCCTTCCAGAGATGGGATGCCAGCACAACAGCACTGCCAAGAACAGGGTGAGAATCCTCCCCTCCCACAGAACACAAGGCCATCCTCTTCTCCTGCTCTCAGGCTCTGGCAAGTCATATCAGTGTGTGAACCAGCAGCTGTGCACCCAGGAATCAGGCAGCCAGAGAGGCACATCCTGAAGATACAGGTTTCTGAGTATCTCCTATCTTAAGGCAGCGATAGGCCATGCATGTGCCAGTTTTTCAAGTCACAAGTGCCAGTAAGGCTCAGCAGCCTGAAAGAAAAGGGTTTAAAATAGGTGATGGGTTCATCATCTGCTTTGGTTTGTTGTTCTTTGGTATTTTTGGGCTACGTTACATGCTTCCACATCAGAGGGCTAAAAAGCACCTTTTACCAAGCAGAATTTCAGACCCTTATGCAGAGAAGGGGACATACCCTGGGCACAGTGCTGGGATGTGCCACGGGAC